TAGTATAAAACAATTATTAATGTACTTCTATAATATGAATTACTAATAATATTATCTTATATGTGCAAATTATATCATATTATGATAATTTATGTATATGCTGATATAAATATGTATATTATTAGATTCCCTAGTCTATGTACTATTTTCTGTACACTGAGATAGATCAAATGATATGTTTATACATCAAACTCTATAACATATAACTGTTTTCAATATACATACTCTGAAAATTACTCTTAATTACTCAAGAATGACTTATTAGAGAACATGTTATTTTAGTTTATAGCTACATGTTAGTATCTGTTACATTGTTAAAACTGTCAATATGTAAATAATACATAAACTTATTGCATAGGAAACTTTATTAATGCAATATTTAATTTTTATTGTATGTTTAATATAAAATTAACATTGTTATATTTTATAAATATAGAGCAAAATTAAAACAAAATGCACAAACATATTTTACTTTCTCATAACAATATATTTTTTTTAATTATTAAATATTAATTATTAAGAAATGAAAATATATATTTTATCTTTATAATTAAATGGAAATTCAATTATTTGTAAGTGTACATTTCTAAGAATGGAATGCATTCCAAATAAATATATTAGTTTAAAATTGTTATATTACAGATATTATTAAATATAATTGTTAATATATGAAAACTATATAAATTAAAATATTATAACCATTTATTAATATATTTATATTTAAAAAAATTGTTTTAAGTATAAATCCTTGAAAAAAAAAATTGAAATTTTTTGCAAATTATAAGTTTATAGATATAATAAGTTTTGTATGTTGAATTTAAAATCAAGTATATAATTTATTTTAATTCGATTTTAATTAAATATAATAAAAATATAAATATTATTAAAAAGAATGAATTTATCAAAGAATTTATCTTTTTATAAATATTATATCTGATAAATTTATTTATAATTATGAAACTAATCATACACTTATTAAAACTTATTATATTCATATCTGAAGAATCGATTTAATAAAATAAATACAAAAAGTGTTATACAAAAATATTAATTAGAATTTATTTATTAAGCTGTTAAACAATTCACAAAAGTTTACATTAGATGAAACAGAATGGAGATAGAGCAAGCAAAGATAGAACTATCTCCGATTTGGTTCGTTTAACGCAAATTTTAAATATAACTTAATAAATAAATTTTAATTATAACTTAATAAATAAGCCTTAACTAATATTCTTATATATATCTTTGTATATTTTTGTGTTTATTTTGGCTTTCAGAACAACTATTTAAAAATATCCCACAAATATAATATTCTATGTATATTTTATTCTACAAAAAAAATTGAAATATTTATTTTGTTGATAATTGTTCTATTAAAACTATGTTGTTATATTTTAAATATATTTTAAGTAATATAATTAAATAATATATATATTGTGTTTTTAAATATTTAATCCTGATACA